CATTCGATTCCAGGTCATCACCTCTCCCTCTTCACAGTTAGTATTAGGGTATCCATGGTTGCGTGCTCACAATCCCATTTTTGACTGGGAGACAGGGCAAATAAAATCATGGAGTGAGGCCTGCCACGAGTCTTGTACGTTGGAAGTCACACCTTTGAATTCTATTGAGGTACCTACCAGTCCTCCTTTGTCTACGGTTATACCCCCTCAGTACTTATCTCTAAAGACTGTTTTCGATAAAAGGGAAGCTGAGAAATTACCGCCTCACAGACCCTATGATTGCGCTATTGACTTGTTGCCTGGCACTATACCTCCAAAGGGCAGGGTGTACCCCTTATCGGTTCAAGAAAACCGTGCCATGGAGGAGTATATTAAGGAATCACTAGAAAAGGGGTTTATTAGGAGATCCTCTTCTCCAGCTGGAGCAGGGTTCTTCTTTGTATCGAAGAAAGAAGGTGATTTAAGACCGTGTATAGATTATAGAGGTCTAAACAAAATCACTATCAAAAATACATACCCTATACCTTTAATTACAGAATTATTTGACAGGCTGAAACATGCCACTGTGTTCACTAAATTAGACCTTAGGAGTGCATACAATTTGATACGTATAAAGGAAAATCACGAATGGAAGACTGCATTCAACACTAGATCCGGTCATTACGAATATATACTGTTATGCCATTTGGGCTTTGCAATGCCCCAGCAGTATTCCAAGAATTTATTAATGATGTCTTGAGAGATTTTATTCACACATTTGTTATCGTATACTTGGACGACATTTTAATATATTCTACAGATATACACACTCACCACAGACATGTTACGACAGTTTTGAAGACCCTTCTTGCTAATGGTCTTTATTGCAAGCTAGAAAAATGTCTGTTTGACCAAACCGAAGTCCAGTTCTTGGGGTATTTGATTTCAGCTAAAGGTTTTCGTATGGATCCCCAGAAGCTTGCTGCTGTAATAGAATGGCCTCTACCGCAAGGTCTGAAAGCTATTCAGCGTTTTCTTGGGTTCTCCAATTATTATAGGCGTTTTATCAAAGGTTTCTCGTCCATTGTAGCACCTATCACTCGTATGACTAAAAAGGATGGCAATACTCGTGTTTGGTCTACCGAGGCACTTCAGGCTTTTGAATTTCTTAAAACTACGTTCGCCTCTGCACCTATTTTACAGCATCCTGTCCCCTCACTGCCCTATATTCTTGAAGTTGATGCTTCGGATATTGGGGTAGGTGCTATCTTATCCCAAAGAGAGTCGCCTGAAAAGCCATTGCATCCATGCGGCTTCTTTTCTAAACAAATGTCCAAAGCAGAGAAAAATTATGATGTGGGTAATCGCGAACTCCTTGCTATTATTTTAGCACTGAAAGAATGGAGACATTTGTTAGAAGGAACTAAAGATCCTATTCTCATATTTACGGATCACAAGAACCTATCCTACCTTAGTGAGGCTAAAAGATTGTCTTCTCGGCAGGCTAGGTGGTCTCTATTTTTGTCCCATTTCAATTACATTATCACCTATAGGCCAGGTGACCGCAACACTAAAGCAGACGCTCTGTCCAGACAGTTCGAAACTGCTGACAAACAGGAGATTGATGTTACTCCTGTGATTCCCCCAGAAAGGATAATCGCTACCACTGTTTTGTCTATTTCTTCGTCCCTCTTGCAGGTCATACAAGCGAAACAAAACATGGCACCTAGCGAGAGACCTACTGATAAACTATTCGTGGATGTTTGTGGGCTGTTGCATCCGTTACCTATTCCCGAGAGACCTTGGTCTAACCTGTCCATGGATTTTATTGTTGAATTACCTCCCTCGAATGGTAACACAGTTATCCTAATGATAGTGGATCGGTTTTCCAAGATGGCTCACTTTGTGTCTCTTCACAAGCTGCCCACGTCCAGGGGACTAGCACTTGTTTTCGCCAGAGAGGTGTTTCGATTACACGGCATTCCCGTATCTATTGTATCTGATAGGGGTAGCCAATTTATTTCCAGGTTCTGGAGGGCCTTTTGTTCAGAAATGGGTATTTCTCTCTCATTTTCTTCCGCTTATCATCCCCAGTCTAATGGGGCTGCTGAACGTGCCAACCAATCTCTGGAGCAATACCTCCGTTGTTTTGTGTCTCACCATCAGGACAATTGGTCTGACCTGCTTCCTTGGGCTGAATTTGCTCGGAATAACGCCACTCATGATTCTTCCGGCATGACCCCTTTTTACGTTGTCTATGGCCAGCATCCCGTTGTTCTTCCGACTGCATTCTCCTCACAGGGCATGCCAGTTCTGGATGAGCATTTGGCTGGTTTGCGTAATACTTGGGAGCAGGTTCAGCGTTCTTTGGTGGACTCTGCTGCTCGCCAGAAGGCTCAGGCTGACAAGCATCGCAGAGCAGCTCCGTCCTATGTTGTGGGGGACAGGGTTTTGCTTTCCACGCGGAATATTCGTCTCCGGGTGCCTTCTATGAAATTGGCTCCCCGCTTCATTGGACCTTGTCGTATTATACATAAGGTTAATCCTGTTTCTTATGCCTTAGGCCTGCCTAAGAATCTACGTATTCCTAATGTTTTTCACACCTCATTGTTGAAACCTTTCGTACGCAACCGCTATACCCGGCATACTCCTCCTCCCCTCCTATCTCGGTGGAGGGTCATGAGGAGTTTGAAGTGTCTGCTGTTCTTGACTCTCGTTTCCTTAGGGGTCGACTTCAGTACTTGGTACATTGGAAGGGTTATGGGCCTGAGGAGCACAGTTGGATTTCGGCTGATGCTGTCCATGCTCCCCGTCTTGTGCGCTCTTTCCATTCTCGTTTTCCTGCCAGGCCTGGTCCTACCCGCCCGGGGGGCGTGTCCTCAGGGGGGGGTACTGTGGCGTTACTTACCTTAACCGGGGGCCGGTCGCGGTCCTCTCTTCAAGCCGCGCGCGGTCCTGCGGCTGCACGAGCCGCGCGCGGCTCATCCGACTGCTTTGGATGGAAGGCGGGCAGTGACCGCGTGAAGCGGTCACGTGTCCCGCCTGAAACTAAGAGCGCGCCGCGAGTCTCGGGCGCGCTCTTAAAGAGACAGTGGGAGCCTAATTGCCAAAAGGCTCCCATTGGCTTCTGTCATACCACACTCCCTATACAATTACCTTTTGGGGGTGTGGAAGTGACAGGAGCCAATCACTTTCGTTTAAGCCGTTTAAACTTACTCTTTTTCTCCTTTAGTCAAAGCGTCTCAACGGCCCCTGCCCGCCCCTCAGCCTGCAAGTCCGCCAGTTGCTTTTTCTCGTATTGACTTTGGTTTCAGATCGACTTCGCTTTCGCTATCCTTATCTGTACTGTTTGCCGCTTCGTTTTCCGTGTACCAGACCCCGGTTTGTCCTAGTTTACGCTTGCCCTCTGTGCCCTGACCTCAGTTTGTTCCTGGCTCTGTCTCCTCTCATATACGTCGAGTCCACGCCCCAAGGTCCGCAGACGCATCTCCTCCTGCATTTTGCCTCTGCTTAGCTGGATCCCGCGTGTAGGGGTGGGCATATTCTCGCTACAGGCTTATGGACTCTGCGTGATCGTGCTGGTCCTTAAACACCTTTTTGATATCAGAAGCATTTGGGACACTGCCCCTTTAAGGCCATGTCCCCAGACTTGTTGGGGACACTGCCCCTTTAAGACGGTGTCCCCTGTGTCCCCAGACCTGGTGCAAACTCTTTGTGCCTGCCTGGCTAATTCCCACTTGGTTCAGTAAATGGGGCTTACTGAACCAAGTACCACACAGGCAGACCACCCAGAAGTGGAAGTGTGCAGGCAATTTACCTTCCAGAAGCTGCGGTTAACCGCAGCTTAATTGACAATGCTGGGAGGTCTTTGTTCGTTTGCCGAACACGTGGCGGCGGCCATCTTTGATCATTCGATGAGGTCAGCGGTATGTGTAGCCAAATTCATGGAACTAAAATCGGCTACACATTTCCGCGAACACCGCTGAGCTCTACCTTCTCCCCTACTGGTTTAACAGCTGCAGAGACTAAGTCCCATTCGGCGATGGGACTTCTGTCAAGTTGTAGCCTGAATAGACTGATCAAGACAGCCAAATTTATGAACTGTTTAGGAAAATGTGCTTATGTGTCGTCATAAAGGGACCTTCCAGCTAACTTTTTAACCTCCTGACATTTATTGATTTTGGTTATGTTTATGTTTTAAGTGTGCTGATTCCAAATATAATGCAGAAGATGGGATGTAGTTTTAAAGTTACAGTGTATGGATAAAAACTGTATTTTTACTGCCTGTGTTTAATTATGTTAATCTCTTCCCAAACGTCATTTCGTTCAAAGTGGAGTGAATGTTAAAAAAATATATTTTTGTTCGGAGTGTGAGAAATGCTTTTCAGCCGCTTCCAATCTTAAGCATCATTTGAGGAGCCATACAGAAGAGAAACCTTGTTTGTGGTGTGTTTAGTATTGTTCTGATCAGTTTAATACCTTCCGCGTCTCCTATCAGTGGACGTGTATATGGCAGCCATTTTAGGAACCGTACACCTGGGACCCGAGCAAGGTCACCTCGTTCAACAGGCTACAACATTTGTCCCTGGAAAACTATCCTGGACATTCTGTACAATTTGTATGGATATGGCAGTGATTTCTGTAACAGGGAGATGGAAGAAGATGCTTAGTCGGTCCTCTTACTTCAAATTTGGGGCACTGCGCGGTCAAGCTAATGTGTCACCAGATAGGAGTGGTGTGTTTAGTACTATTTTTATCAGTTTAATACCTTCCGTGTCTCCTATCAGTGGACGTGTATATGGCAGTGATTTCTGTAACAGGGAGATGGAAGAAGATGCTTGGTCGGTCCTGTTACTTCAAATTTAAAAGCGTCTTTAAAGCGTCCTGTCCTTGCCGGCGTGGTCGTGGGAGGAGGAGGATGACTTCCACCTCTCCCCCTGTTAGATTCCCGTTGTGCTGTGACATCACCCTTATACGCTGAGTAAAGCATACTTTTTAATTTATTTTGCAAATGCTGCATCCTTTCATACTTGTTGTAATTCGGTAACATTTCCGCCACCAGATAGGAGTGGTGTGTTTATTACTGTTCTGATCAGTTTAATACCTTCCGCGTCTCCTATCAGTGGACGTGTATATGGCAGTGATTTCTGTAACAGGGAGATGGAAGAAGATGCTTGGTCGGTCCTCCTAACTGGAGACTGTGTTGCTGTATGGGTGGCAGGTGGAGCCATTTATAAAGTACCCACTGCTTTGCAGACCAGGTATCAGTGGTCAGATGGACCCTTGCCCCAACACTGTGTGCCAGACATGCCATTACTTCCTTTTGCACAGTCAAGTACAGGTTGGGGATTGCCTTTTGCGCAAAGAAATTTTGGCCGGTACCTTCCACTGCGGTGTCCCAATAGCTACAGACTCCACCAGCTTGTATGGTAAAAGCTGGCGGGCTAATAGTTCGGAAAAGCCAGCTGTCAGACGCTGGGCAAGGGGGTGACTTTCTGACATTGGCTTCTTACGCTCAAACATGTCCTTGACAGACACATGACTGTGGGCAGATGAGCAGGAACTGCTCAAGGCGGGAGACGGAGTGGCGGATGGTTGAGAGGGGGCAAGGAGGACAGCAGTGGTTGACGTGGCTGAAGATGCTGGACAAGGAGGAGGATGGCGGCTTAGAGTAGGCGTGCTGCTTGTACTCATGTGTTGATCCCATAGGCGTTTGTGATGTGAGATCATGTGCCTACGCAAAGCAGTTGTACCTAGGTGGGTGTTGGACTTCCCACGACTCAGTTTCTTTTGGCACAGGTTGCAATGGCATCGCTGTTGTCAGAGGCAGACACACAAAAAAAATTCCACACTG